GTATAAAATTTCAAAATGTTGTTAAGGATTATTAAGGAGACAAATTCAAAACTTTTGGTTAATAATATTTTATTTATACCTGGAAAACAAGTATTAGCTAACCACTGTCTATGACCAAAAAGTTGACATGTAATTAATTCTAACTTAATCGAACTGCGAGTAATACTTGATTAATGGGAGTGGAGTCAATATAAAACAATACATTCCGATCAGATACCCAGTATGCACTCAATTCAGATGACGTATATGTACTATCCTCGAATTTCCTATAAATCCAATCCGGTCCTTTTTTTCTTACAAAATGGTAAATTTTGTGCACTGATATGGATATCTTAACCATCCAAAGAAATTTAAGCCTTCCAAACAGTTATCTACATCAAATTTCGGTTATAAGGAAGTCATTAGACCTCAAAGTTTGCTTCCTCAAAACTTAGATTCTTTTTATCCGTATGAAAACTTGAAAAGTCTTCTACGGGATTCTTAAAAGATTCCCTTCCACAAGGATTTTCTTACAAGCGATTTATTTTAACTGAGTTTTACAGTAATTCGTCCGAACGAATTTCTAATTTATACGAAAAATTATCTAATTGTCCGAAGAAATAAATATTATCATTATATTATAAATATTATTTATCTGCTCCTACCCATCCCCGGACGCCGCAGAAAAATGAGTTTAAAATGGTAATTCAACGAGTACTCCTCCATATCTACTCATCATACGCAAATAGAAATAACCAAGATCTAATATGTTACTTTTAATTTAGGTAATGTGGTCTTAACTTTTCCCAGTCAACTATAATCCTTTAACTCTCCGATCACATTCCAGAGAACTCTGATTTTGATAGGTTTTGGAAAAAAATTGAAAAAAAAAAGTTTTCTTTTCGAGAACAACCCAGTTGTATATGTTAGATTACTTAGCAAAGCATCCCAGTGCTATTTAGATAAAGTTTATTGTTTGTTTCTTGTTGAATTAATATTGTCTTTAGAGTACGAAACATAAAAGTGTTCTTTATTTAAAAAAAAATAATAAGAATGATTTTTGAAGTATGTAATACAGTCAGTATCTCTGAAAAATAACATATTAAATAATATATTCTTATGAATTCGATGTATTGTCGACGGACTTTTCCGTTATTTCCCGATGACAAGGAGCACGCGGCAGGTGTGACTGGTCGGCAGGGGATGCTCACTTCTCCACGGAGCCTGATCCCACCTCTGATGTTTTAGAGGTCCATGTTTGCTTTGCTCCAAAATTTGTATTGTTTAATGGACTTTTGAGCTTGAATACTGTTTGTTATCTCCATATATGTCATGTATCTTAATTTATCATTCTCGGGTAAAATGATTCATGTCTTTAAAGTACATGTACTGCAGTTTTATGCAAAGACCAAGGTTTAGATTAATTAAGGGCTCAGTCACGCCTTACTGGATAGCGCTAACGGAAATCAAATGCAAATCATTTGTTATACATTGATGAAAGCCGTCGCCTGCCACAATTTTAAGCTCTTGTTATCAACGAATGGAGCGTATGAAACTGATAAAATGATACAAATACAAGATATGTACATACCGTACAATCAACAATCAACTAACGGACTTCACAGTGCAAGTAGCGAATAAGTATACCGTGTAAAACGAATGTGTAACGCTTGAGAAACTGACGAAATGGTTTTCGAAAATTAGAGTTTGTGTTCAGGTTTTATTTTCCATACAATTTGAAAACGTATGCAATCGCTATACCTATCGAACTTTACACATACCTACCATATTTTAAGCCTTAGTCTTGTGATGTCCGTTTCAAGTTTTGTACATGCTCAAAACTTTTCACCGGATAAATCGACAAGAAACGTGTTCGGACAGAACGGAAGGGATTGAAAATTTTGCCATGCGTTTGAAATCTGTTATCGCTATCCGGTAAGGTATGGCTGAGCCCTACGGTTCGCTGAGTACAGGGTCTCTCATTGCTTTCTAAAGTGCAAAAATTTTAAGAGGAGAGCACTGAAAAGTATGACTGCTTTTAAGCATACCTGAGCTATAAGTTCAAATGAGCTTTTCTGATCACCTGTTATTCGGCGTCCGTCCGTCTAGCTGTCTGTCTGTCCGTCCGTCAGTAAACTTTTCACATTTTCAACTTCTTCTCAAGAACCACTGGGCCAATTTTAAAGGGGATAACATTGAAATATATAGGAAAAATCTTTTAAAATCTTCTCAAGAATCATTAGACCAGAAAAGCTTACGTGGAAGCTTTCTGAGGTATTGCAATTTGTAAATTGTTCAAATTATAATTCCCCGAATATAGGTTGTGGGCCACAATAGGGAATCAAAATTTAACATTGATATTTATAAGAAAAATCTTTGAAAATCTTCTTCTTAAGAACCGCTGGACCAGAAAAGTTGAAACTTATATGAAAGATTTCTGAGATTGTGTAGATTCTAAATTGTCCAAATCATGACCCCCAGGGGAAAAATGAGACCACGATAGGGAATCAAAGTTTAACATTGAAATATATAGGAATTTTTATTTCTAAAAATATCAAGAACCATTGGACCAGAAAAGCTGAAACTTATGTGGAAGCTTTCTTAGGTAGTGTAGATTCTAAATTGTTCAGATCCTGGTCCCCAGGAGTAAGCTGTGGTCACAATAGGGAATCAAAGTTTTACATTGAAATATATAGGAAATATCTTTGAAAATCTTCTCAAGAATCACTGGACTAGAAAAGATGAAACCTAGAAAAAGTTAACTGATGTATTGCAGTTTGTAAATTGTTCAAATTATGGTCCCCGCGGATAGCGTTGGGCCACAATAGGGAGTATTAGGGAAAGTATTTAACACTCCTTTTCTCAAGAACAGCAAAGCCATGGTGAATCATATTAATTTGGAAGCATCCTATAGTAGTGAAGATTCATTTCGTCCAAATCATGCCCCCTATAGTATAGGATGGGGCCACAAAAGGCGACAAAAATTTAACATAGGAAAACATGTATATTGGGAAAAAAATCTGATGCAGAACAGCTCGGCAAAAGTGACTCAGGTAAGCGTTGTTGTCCATGGGCGTCTTGTTCTAAATTATTATTCCGCAGCTGAAAGATTGATTGATTAATTGTATGTTGTTTTATGTCCCATTCGGGAATTTTTCACTCATATAGAGACGTCACCATGTACCGGTGAAGGGCTTCAAATTTAGACCTATACTCGGCACTCAGGGGCATTTAGCAGTGAGGGATCTTTATCGTGCCAACGCCTGCCGACACACCGGACCTCGGTTTTTAAGGTCTCATCCGAAGGACCTGCAACTTTCACTTCAAAGTGCCGAGCGCTTGGCAAAGGAACAGTTGCTACTTATTTTTATCGACTTAGATCACTCGCGGCCGGGGCTTGAATCCACGACCTCTCGATCACGGAGCGAGCGCTCTACAGAATGAGCTACCGTGACGGTGATCGCAGCTGAAAGAAGAAACTTGGCAAAGTTTCTTCTTTCAGAATTTAAGTACAAACTGAAGGTACTTTCATTCATTCGCAGTAGCACATTTTAACATTGTCAAACCAAACAATGCACTGTAAACTTTTAATTGCTATTATAACAACGCCGTATTAAACTCAGGTAAGCAAATTAGCTTATGTGACAATTTTATAAATGTTCCCGCTAATGTAATGTCTAACTTTGCGGTGTAATATCACCCATAGAAGCACACAAAGTAGGTAACAGCGTATTTTTTTCAAACATGGGTCGACAAATCAGAATGGAGAATTTAACATGGAAGAACACTACGATTATAAGCAATAATACTGGGGCCCGTTTTACAAATTAAAGAACTTACGACTAAGACCAAAAACTTGAGCTGATTGTAAAATTTTACAGAATTAATTATTCTGTTTAAAATTGATTGCGTAAAAGTATCTTTCTACATACCTTTTAAAAATATTAAAACTATTTTCTATTCAATGTAAATTAGAAAGTTATCAGGAGAATTAAATTTTGGTCTAAGTTGTAAGTTCTTTTGTGAAACGAGCCCCTGTATTTTTAAGTTCCTTTACCGTAAACTACGACCACTGCTTCGATAGTACTACACTTTTATTTGTGAAAAATAGAAACTCTCTACACAATTCAATGGGACATAAGAGTTTCAAATTCTATACAGTGTATGTCAGATAATGATATTAGTTTGTGGTTTGTGTATAAAAACTCATTTAACTTGCTCATTTTTCTATACAGCCGCTTCCAAAGCAAGTATTTTAAAACTTCTCTATTAACATGATTTCTCTGTTAACTTCTCTATTAACATGGTTTCTCTATTAACTTCTTTATTAACATGGTTTCTCTACGAACTTCTTTATTAACATGGTTTCTCTATGAACTTCTTTATTAACATGAGTTTTCTATTAAGTTCTCTATTAACATGATTTCTCTATGAACTTCTTTATTAACATGGTTTCTCTATTAACTTCTCTACTAACATGATTTCTATATTAAATTCTCTATTAACATGGTTTTGTCCATACAGGAAGGTTATTCTTCAAAACTCTGATATAAAGCTTCCAGGAAATTTTACTAAAAGAAAAAAAAATAACCTATCAATCGACTGAAAATTTTTGGAACATTTGTTCAAACGTCAACTTTTGTTAATCTATAGCATGGAAGATAAATTCAAATATTATTTCACCCTTTAAGGTTGTCCTTGAAAACTGTATTCATAAACATCCAATGTTTGCTGAATTTTTTTGATGTGATTATTTGTTATTTCTATAGCTGATACCCTACCGCTTACACTAAAAACAAGCCAGATAGGTTTTCGAATCAACACTGAATTATACCGGTCACGGAAACATGTTTGCTCATTGGCTGAAATGGAAAATACGCATGTTGCATCAAATGTTTCACATACAGAGAAACATAACACATCATTCAAATTTAAGTAGGGACAGCCTACTCCTATTCTTACAGTGGATTCAAATAAATTTTCTTTGTCCACGTTTTGGATTTGACTTGGATCAGTGTTGGTCAATCCACACTTAGGAGAGCTGTGCCAGTTTGAAGATAGTTCAAAATACGTACGTACACATTTTCATTCAACGTTATTGGCCGATTTGTAAAGCATATGGATCGCCATTCTGACTCATTTATGCGTTTTGCTAGAGTATGTTCATGAAGGAGAACTATATTAGAGGTATGATGCTTATGAAATCCGATTGGTTCTGTCTGATTTTCAACCTCTCGTCTTTCCTCTTCAAGATGTGAATCCTGAACATCCTCTATGCTATCTAAAAACAAACAACATTAGATTTTAATGAACCACGGTTAATTTTTGAAGGACAGCGTATATAACATGAGAAATACCCCCAAGATTTGATGTTGGCAAATGCAGAAAAAAGTATGTTCTCTTCCTTAAATGAAAAAGAAGTTTTTGCTGTTCACACTGTGAATCATGGGATTCATTTCGCAACTATAGAACAGGTTACCATAAAACAAGTTTGAATCTGGTATCTCATATCTGTCATTGAAGATCCAAATTATTGAAATTGAGTCAAGGGAATCAGTTTTTTTAATCCAAGAAATGAATTAAAATGTTGAAAAGTTCATTGGAAAATAACCTGATTAATAAAGTCATCAAATCGGCGAAGTAGATTTGAAGGCGTACCGATCAAGTTCATTTCCGAGTGACGCTTTAACATTGTTATTCATTCGAATAGAGACTCCTGTACAGTAATCTGTCCGGTGCGTTAAGCTGTGACGTACGTCACTACCTCTATCTTTCGGAACATTTTGCTCTTTAAAACTTTTATCCATGACAACAATTTTGCAAATGTACGACGGGTTATAATTAAATGATCTTCCAGAGTTGTTTAATTGAATATGTCTTACAAGAAAATTGGTGAAGGTACAGCAATTAAAGTAATGATTTCGTGAAATGATCATGATGTCTTGTTTGTAATAACCTTAGTTCCACAACCTTTAGTGTTTTCTTTCACCAGACCTAATGGTAAGTATTATATTAAATTATAACAAGATGTGTTTGTGAAACACTGATGCCCCCGTTAGGCAGCTTATGGCGAAGGTTAAAGTTTCTCAAATGCAAGTCAAAATCCAGGCCAAAAGATAAAAAATGTTGATACCCAAAGAAATGTCTTGTCTCGAGGAATACACCTGTGAAATTTGAAAGACCTAGATACAACTGTTCAAAAGTTATGGCGAAGGTTAAAGTTTTTTAAATAAAAGTCAAACATCAAGGTCAAGGTCAAAGTGGTTGGTATCCAAAGGAAGATCTTACATATGTGAAGTATGAAAGCCCTAGCACCAACCATTCAAAAGTTATGGCCAAGGTTAAAGTTTTTCAAAAGTAGGTCAAACTCCTAGGTCAAGGTCAAAAGGTCAAAGTGGTTGGTATCCAGAGGAAGGTCTTGTCACAAGGATTACATATGTGAAATATGAAAGCCCTAGCTGCAACCATTCAAAAGGTATGGCCAAGGTTAAAGTTTTTCAAAAGTAGGTCAAACTCCTAGGTCAAGGTCAAAGGGTCAAAGTGGTTGATATCCAGAGGAAGGTCTTGTCACAAGGAATACACATGTGAAGTTTGAAACCCTAAGCACTAACTGTTCAAAAGTTATGGCCAAGGTTTAAGTTTTTCAAAAGTAGGTCAAACTCCAAAGTCAAGGTCAAAAGGTCAAAGTTGTTGGTATCCAAAGGAAGGCCTTGTCACAAAGAATACACATGTGACGTTTGAAACCCCAAGCACCACTTGTTCATGAAGTTATGGCCAAGGTTAAAGTCTCATAAAATTTTGCAAAAGTGGGTCAAACTCCAAGGTCAAGGTCAAAAGGTCAAATATGATGGTACCCAAAGAAAGGTCTTGTCACATGAAATACACATGTGAAATATGAAAGTCATAGCTCCAACCAATCAAAAGTTATGGGCAAGGTTAAAGTTGACAACAGACAGACAGACAAACCAACAAACAGACAAACAGATAAACAGACAAACAGACAGACAGGACAAAAACAATATACCCCCGGGATCTTTCGATCCGGGGGCATAAAAATTGATATAACTCTTAAACCAATGAGGTTGGATGGGCTATTAAAATAGCTCGACTGATAAACATAGAAAAATAAATGAATCATACCATGTACAGTAACTATAATATATATGGATTGTGCAGCTATCTCCTCGCCTCTTTCTGTTTTCACCTTCAATTGATATGTTCCCTCATCCTGTTTCCGAACGAAATGCACGAACAAAACTGGAGCAGGTAAATCTACAGAACTCCCTCTGTATTTTTCATCACTAATATCAATATCTTTTACCGTTTCATCACTATCAATCTTCTGCCAAATAACTGTAGCATTGATCCAGCCAGTGTTTTCTATGAATGCAAAGTATGTTCCAGTTTGTCCAAAATAAAGCTCCTCTGGCCCATTTATGTACACGACAGGAGATTCTAAAAAAAGAAGAAGAAGAGAAATCCGCATTTGAAAACTGAAAATAATTGCAAAATAAATGTTTTATCCAAATGTGTGGATGCATTTTATATATTCAGGAAAACATTTTCAAACAACACGGGGCATAGTCAGCAGACATTCCTAGGGAGTAGGAAGTAATTGTTTTTTCCTGATTTTGAGTCATTAAAAACAAGAGGCTCATGATTCACAACTCACCTGAGTTACTATGGCCCTGCTATTCTCCATCGGTAAATTTTTTTCTCTATACATGCCTAATATGTAGAAAATTGATCAAATATTGTGGTCCCACCCTATCCCCCAGGGGTCATAAATTGAACAAATTTAAATTTAGATTACTGTGGAATCAAAAATATTCGTGAGGGCCAATTTTGTGGATTGTTTTAAATTTTACAGGTCCGTGTATTCATTCATACCACAAAAGGAAATATGACTTTATAACCCTAGTTTATACATTCGTGGAGTATGTTAATTCGTGGATAAGATGTACCCACAAATTCCTTAAAAATTGAGGAACCATGAAATCTAAGTATTTCACACTTTCTGAATATGCTTTTCGTATAAATATGACTTATCATGGCTTCGTTGTTCTTGAGTAGATGATTTTACAAAAAAAAAAAATCCCTATTTACTCTTTTGTTAATCTTTGATCGCCCATTATGGCCCAACCCTCTCCCAAGGGTTCATGATTTTAACAATTACACTACACTACCTGAGGATGCTTCCATAAACATAACTATAACCAATCATGGTTTTGCTGTTCTTGGGAGGATTTTTAAAGATTCTTCCTATATATTCCTGTATAAAACTTGATGGCCAATTGTGGCCACACTTTACCCCTGGGGTCATGATTTGAACAAACTTGAATCTTCAATACCTCTAGATGCTGTCAAATAAATAAGATTAATCATAACTTTACTGTTCTTGAGAGGAAGATAGTGGCCCCGGGGACATGGATTGAAAAAAACCCTAACTCTATATAATGCAATGAAGGTTTCACACAACTTTCATCTTATCAGGCAACATGGATCTTTAAAAGATACCATTAAATCTAAATTTTAATTATCCCCCCCTTGAAAGAGGTGTGGTCCTTCATTTGAACAAACTCAAATCTCCTTTGCCCAAGGATGCTTTGTGGCAATTTTAGTTGAAATCGGCCCACTGGTTAGTATCATTATGGAAAATTTTACAAACACGTATCTAATAGATTCGCACGAGTTAAACTGTTATAATTAAGCATTAGTATAAATCTCTTTTCTGCTTAACTTTCAGTAAGGCGTGACATTCTCGGCAATACATACTTAGCGTCTCTCAAATAGTGACCTAGATTCTCATTGGTTGCCGGATTAGCTCATCAATACTGAAATTTACACAGCTTTTCATTCACGGGTGAAATACACATGGGATTAAAATGAGTCAGAATCAACGAGTAATGCAAGGGACCAATAACATCGTTTTTTAAAGTAAAGAGGTGTAGCTTATGTCATCTCATTTGTTAACAACAATCTAAAGTTGCTAATGTTATTAATTTCTTAACCAATGAGACGCTAATTATGTATCGCCGAGAATGTCACGTCTTACTGAAAGATTAAGCAGAAAAGAGATTTGTACTATAATGCTGTTATACGGAAACATCTGTATAACTGTATAGATCTAAAACACGTTCATATGAACAGAATTATTTACATACTCTCTCTCTCTCTCTCTCTCTCTCTCTCTCTCTCTCTCTATATATATATATATATATATATATAATTTTTATTAATCCTTAAACTATAATCAATACAAAAGTATAACTAGTGCTAATTGTAACGGGAACCGTTACAGATGTTCCCCAAACGGCTCCCCAATCCCTTATGATGCCCCATTCCCTACAAGCTTCAATAAATTAGACAATACTTTTGTAATATAGATGGACACTTTATTTTTAAGGGTATTTCATTGGAAAACTACTCCGATATAGCCATATGGGTATTAGCCAATCAAATTTCAGCGCATGTGCTTGCACATGATTTCTACATTTTTCACATTAATTTTCTTATAGTGTGTCCCAATACATACATTTGTGTTAAATATTAAAGAATCTCATTGAAAAATAAGAGAGATGTAACCCTTTAAGTATTAGCCAATCAGAATTCAGCATACGTGCATGCATGGCCTCGCATTCAATTTTGATAGTACCATAATGTAGGAGCTCTATGTGTCTATCCATGTCATAAATTTCATCCTGTTTTGTTGAAAACCAAGGGAGTTATAGACATTTAAAGTTTCAACCAATCAGATTGCATCACACCTGCATGCGCGTGTTTTCAAGAAATTTCCTATATAACATGTTGTAGCACCTTATAATATATACTTATATTCTAAACTTCAAAGTATTTTGTCAAAAAACAAGGAAATTATTGAGATTTTTGTATCAGCCAATCAGAGAAGAGCGCACGTGCATGCGCGTGAGTTCACGCTAATTTGACCATGTTATCTTGTCTAGACTACTAATATATCTTTATATTTTGAGTTTCAAAGCAATTCATCAAGAAATATAAAAGTTACAGCTTCATCAAGTATATCAGTCGTTTCACTCATTGCACGCGCGCGCACGTGCATGCATGTGCGCGCAAAAAGACCTTCGTTCCGAACACCTACACAACATGCCTATTAACCCTAAAAAGGTTTCATGTCAATCGGATGAGTGGTTCTATGAGAACACTCCCGGACAAAAAAGTACCGGAGAAGAAAGTAGAAAAAAAGAATAATAATAATAATAATAATAATAATAAGAAACAGAGTAAAAACAATATGTTCCCAAACTTCGTTTGGGGAACATAATTAGGAGGAGGGTTATAGACTGAAAGTACAAGGTGATAGTAGGGTGAAGGAATGAAAATAAACAAGCATAAGCAATAAATACTTGTCCCCCTCAGATAAATGTATTCTGGATCCTCTTACAAATAAAAAGACTCTGTATCTACAAGCAGCTAGGGAAAAGGTGCAGAAAACAAAGTTGGAAAATTGGTTGCTATTTTACCCGTGTATATACAATGATAAAGAGCTCTAGTATAAAGTTTTGAAAATTTCACTATTCAATCGTACATGTAGTTTGAGCCTATGATAAAATATTAATTAGGACATTTCATTGATTATTTTTTCACACCTTTATCTTATCTTTTCTTATATTTTATCTTAATCTTATTTTTAAACCGACATTTTGTTATGTTCCCCATATCTGTTGTGAATTTTAATTTGTTCACATGAAGTCACGACCCTGCAATTTCTAGTGATTCAGGTTACAGGTTACACTAGGAGAAAATATAATTGATATTTATCTAGAAAAGCAGTACTACTTACGTGAGAGATTGAAATTTTTCAATTCCTCTACGGCCACATCATCCGGTTTTAGTCCATTCATTTCAAGATATTCCTTGTTTAATAAGATATCTTTCAGATGCTTTGTTAAGTCAAAATCTTTGAATTTTTCAAGAGTTTCTGAGTCTTTGAATTCAAAACACACAGAAAAAAGGCCATCTATGCACGAAGGAAATATATCTGGATATTCATGTTCTGCTTTGAAATTTATAATAGAACTTGCTAAAAACATCAAAATTCTATTTCTGGATTCTGACCACTCAAGTTTGTGACGAATGTCTTCCAAGAGCCTATAAAGGTTGACTTTATTTATTAATGATGGCTGATTAATATCATCCCTAGCATCAGATCGAATTTCCTCTATGATAAGACTGAGAGAAGGATTTTTTTCTACATGAGATGTAATGCTGTGGTATATTCTTGCTGTCTGCATCGAATAATGTAGCACATCTTGGAATCGATCTTCACTTCTTTCTTTGATGAAAAGCTTTCTGATTGCAAAATGTCGTTCTGGTCTCTCATCTGATAAGAAATTAAATAGGATTTAATTAAACTTCCGTTTATGAAAACGACAAAGACTGCTTGTAGTCGAATATCTTTTAAAAAATTTAAATTTATGTTTGGATGGAATATTTATTGTATGCTTGACCAATCAGTAATAAATGCAATATACTGGATTAAAAGCAATAAAAATAAGTAATTTTTCCTCATCTATAGAGAAAAAATAACTAAAAAGGAAATAAACTACAGGTAGTGTAATAGGCCATACCAGCCCTCTTTCCTGATTATATATTCATGAGTTCAATAAGGCATCTATTTTCCCTTCCTGCCAAGATGAATGTGCTTCTTTTTGTGTAATTTTTGAAAAAAAAATCAACCTTTTCGATGACGTTATTTCCTTAACGATGGCGAGTTTTCCAATCCCGTACATTCCAACAAAATAGGCATTCATCGATTAACAAGACTGACCCTGCTTATAGAAAGCAGATGAATTTCCTTTTTTATATATTAATTCATTCAATTATTAGGTTATTCATTATTTTGGAAGAAAATAACATTGGTCAAGTATGAGTACAAAGCTGCAGCACAAAGCTTGTCACCATTCCATTCCGACCGCATCAGCGTTCACAGTCAAGTCATCTTATCTATGGTTCACTATCATCATCATTCCTATCTTCAGACATTGTGTCGTCTGCATTATAGTATAAGCTAACACGATACAACACTCACCAAAAGAAGGGCATCACCCTTTGAATTGCCTCATATTTGCTTTAGATCATTTTTACCTTAAGGTCAGGAAATAAATTTTAAAACGTTCAGTCGTCGAGTTAGGAGATTAATACTCGGAAGTCGTGTTCACACCCCGATGAGCTGATGACCATTAAATATGTGATGTAACAGAGCTCTTTACTGTTGTATATGGTGTTTAAGTATATTTGTTCAAAATA